CTATGTATATCTTATCAGAACTTCCAAAATTAAAACATTCTAAAATTCAGGCTTAGGCCAAAAAATGGTGGGGACCTATTTTTGAATTGGTGGGGTCTAAAATTGAATGGGTGTGGGGCTATTTTTGAATTGGTGGGGGGGGGGGCATATTTTAAGAATACCAGGTTCTTCAAGTATAGGCCCCCACTTTGTACTGGGGGGGGGGGGGGTCATACTTTAATATTTGAATTATACCGAGTTATTTTTTACTGGTAAATTTTCTAATGATGTGATTTCAATTCCTGTAATGAAAGCTTTCACGTTTTAAATATGGACCCATATGTTCCAAAATCATGGTCAGATCAAACCTATTTTATTATCTTTCCTTGTAATGTGAGTCCTTGGACCGACCAGTTTTTTCAGAACTCACCTCTCGATATGGCGACACGACGAAGAATCGGAGTAGCAGCTATTCAGAAAAAGCAGGAAACAGCTAACAAGTTCGCTGCTAAAGGAGATCAGATGGCCGGAGAGCAACTTGTGCAGTTCTCGCAACAACTAGATCAATTATCGGCAGGGTAATTTCTTATAAATAAGTTAGGTATATTTAATTTTGATTTTTAGACTGGAAATGTTCGCTCAACGGCATCGTGATGAGATAAAAAAGAATTCGCAGTTTCGTCGCTATTTTCAAGAGATGTGTTCCAGTGTTGGAGTCGATCCGTTGGCTTGTATGTTTTCGAATATTTTAATTCTTATTAACTGATTTTTACTCCAGCTAGCAAGGGGTTCTGGGCAAAAGCTCTCGGATTTGGAGACTTCTACTACGAGCTTGGCATTCAGATTGTCGAAGTAAGTACTGTATTCCGCTGAATCAATTTCCACCTCATTGTTCTAGATCTGCCTTTCTACAACTCATATTAACGGAGGTATCATGACTGTCGAAGAAATTCGCAACAGGCTGATGAGAACACGGTCCAGAACTCGCAAAGACACTATTTCAACGTAAGCGTTCAGAAAGTAATAAACATGAAAGACGTAATTTCAGCGATGATATTCTTCGCGCAGTCGACAAGCTGAAAGTACTTGGTAACGGATTCGAGCTTGTTCCACTTGGCGGAGGCCGGTTTTTAGTGCAATCAGTCCCTGGAGAACTGAGTATGGATCATTCGAGAGTTCTTCAATTGGCTGAAGATGCTGCATATGTTACAAAAGAATTGATAATAGACAAATTGAGGTATTTTCCGTTGATCCCCAACCGTTATCGATGTTTCTCCTTTTCAGATGGGACGAACCACGTGCAACATCGGCATTAGAGCATCTAGTGAAAGAAGGTCTTGCTTGGACGGATGAACAGGCATCTGACACAACACAATATTGGTTCCCGTCGCTTTTCCTTCAACAATACTGTCATTCTTCGTCGAGCACTTCCGTTTCTGAGTCGTTGCACAGCATGAGCTTCAACAATTATCAATAATTTTTAAATTCACGATCGACTCGAATTTCAAGTTTCTAACCAAAAATGTACTTCGTTTTTATTCCATGAACTTGCCAAAACAAACACTCCCCTCTTTTCGAAGCTTTTAGCAACATCCCCATTGCTATTCCTAAAATGTAGATCCCATCGAAAATTTTATTTATTTCTTCCTTTTTTTGAGAGTTCTATTTAGAATGAATATATTTCAAATGCCGGTTTTTCCCTTCTTCTTTTCACTGTATAATTTCGGACGAACTTACTTTTACTTCCTTATGATCTGGTTCGAATTTCCCCAATTTTCAGCCAACATGGCATCTTTCAAAGTAAAGCCGGAGCACACTGGACCTCCCGAATTAGTAAGTCTTCATAATTGATATATGGGTCAATGCGCGCACGAGTGACCGAAACCCTGCTTTCAGTACTACAATGAAACAGAAGCAGCGAAATATGCATCGAATTCTCACATCACTGCGATTCAACACGAAATGGCAGAGAGAGCTCTGGAATTGTTGGCTCTTCCAGAAGGGAAAACTGGATTTCTGTTAGATATTGGTAAGTTCGCATTGACTCTTTCTAAATTTGTTCGAAGTTTGAAGATTGTTTAAAAGTACTTTATTTTAGGATGCGGTACTGGAATGAGCTCCGAAGTGATATTGGACGCCGGACACATGTTCGTGGGAGTAGATGTTTCCAGACCTATGCTCGGTGAGGAGAAGCATTATCGTCACTAATTCAACTCTGATTTTACAGAAATCGCACGCCAAGACGAAGATCTTGAATCTGGAGACTTTGTTCATCAAGATATGGGTCTCGGAATGCCATTTAGACCGGGAAGTTTCGATGGAGCTATCAGGTTCCTTTATGCCCTGGACACCCATTTTATAAAAGTTCCCTTCAGCATTTCGGCGATTCAATGGTTGTGCCACGCGAACGCTTCTGACGAGAATCCTCGTAAACGTCTCTTGTTCTTCTTCCAATCACTTTACGGATGCCTAGGACGCGGATCTCGAGCCGTCTTCCAATTCTACCCGGAGAATGATGAGCAGTGCGATCTCATTATGGGTCAGGCACATAAGGCAGGATTCAACGGTGGACTTGTGGTTGACTTCCCGGAAGCTGCGAAACGGAAAAAGATTTATTTGGTTTTGATGACTGGAGGAGTGGTTCAATTGCCACAAGGATTGACTGAAGACGGAGAAGAGGGAAGAACTCAGATTGACAATGCTGGCAGAAGGTCTTACCGATTAATTTTTGATTCTTTAGTTTATTTTTCGTGTTTCAGATTCGTCTGGAATTCGCGTAAAAACGAGAAAGTTGCAAAGGGCTCCAAAGCTTGGATCGAAGCCAAACGACAGCGACAGATTAAACAAGGACGCGATGTCAAACATGAATCCAAATATTCTGGAAGAAAGAGAAAGGCCAAATTCTGATTATTGAATTTTTCAACTTCTTTTCAATTTTTTTGTTCTGTTATTGTTTTTGTTGATTTACCAGTTTTCATAGAAAAAAGTTTATTGATAAATTTATATCAAAGATAACAAAAAAATCTTTATTTGATATAGTTGACTGGAGCATATTGGGGTGGGGCGTTTCCTGAGTTGGGTGGGTGGTTTCCGTAATTTTATAAGGTGAGTTTGGGAAAGAGCACAAGTTAATAAAATAGAGATTATTGAATGAAGAAGGTGTAACAAAATAACTAACTTTGGAATTTTACAATGAGATCCATTTCTGAATAGACCTGATGACGAGTTTTTGGTGGAAAAGTGAGAAGATTAAAAGAGAGAGATAGAGGTAGAAGAAGAAGAAAGAAAAGAATTCCAGTTTTCTCCCGTCGAATCTCTGAGAAAGCTTTCGGTGATTTTTCCGGAATGTTTTTTGACTTGAACTTTTCCCTCGCTTTTCCCGATTGGATGCAGGCACAAAACCGTAAGACTCCACAGTTAAATTTCAAGCTTTCGCGTCGAGGCCAACACTCTTTGAGAAATTAGCGTTCGAGCGCATTTACACGACATCCCGAAAAAAATCACCGTTAGAAAGGGCAGAGAGAGAGAAGAGAAAAAAGGAGTGTTTGAAATTCGTACAAATTGCTCCAAGAGCTGGGGTTTTCAAAATTTTAGACTCCTTTTCTCATCACATTTGGATCAATATATCGCCGAAAGCGTCGACGGGCGTTAGACGCCAAAAATCTGGAGAGTTCGAGTTGACGAGAAAAAGTTTTCCGTGCGTCCAATTGCTGATGAGCTGAAATTGAAGGATACAAAAATTGAAAGATAAATATAATACCGTACCGCATCATGCATAAGAATATGCACTTTTGGTGATAGACAAAGTGTGATTTTTCCTTCGCATCGTTTTCCGGTGAATCCTTCGACAGCTGTCATCAATGATTTCTGAGATAAAATTTTATTATTTTGCAGCTGATTTTCAAAGAACTTACCGTATCTTTGCTAATCACGACAACCGGAAAGAAAACACTATCTTCTGCTCCGTTATCATGAGAAAGATAGATGAGAAGAGCGTCTTGATCACCTTGCCATCTGACTCCGATTTCAGTAACTGGTTTCATCATTTTCATGATTCTTTTCGTGATATCATAAACGCTTCGCAACTCTTCTGCTGTTATTGTACTTTCAGCAGGATCTTCTTCTTTTTTTCGTGGCTGAAATATACTTTTTCAACACTAAAAATCATGTGATCAACTCACTGATTTCATTTTTATTGGAACACAGTTTGTGGAAAGTCTTTTCTGACCAATAGTTGGTGGACTGGATCCAGATGATGCAGCAGCCGCGGCAGCAATTGTTCCAAAAAGCATTAAACTGTTCGTCTGTTGGAATTGTCTTGTGTCTATCTCCATTGGATCTGGTAATTGGGAACACAATTGAACAATTTGGGGATTGACATTCGAAGCTTTGCTGAGTTTTCGTTGCATGTATGAGCGATTGATCTTAAAATAAAAAAAGATTTGATTAAAACTGGGAGCTTGAAAAAAGCATACACTTTTGACTGGATGGCAATAGTTTGGATCAAGCAATGAGAAATCTTGTTCATAGAAAGCCAATTCTTCAGGAGATGGTTTATCGTGGTTGTGTGGATGCAACTTTCTGACTATCTCTCTTGTTACAATATCCGAATGCATTCTGGCATTACAATCATTCTTCCGTTCACATCTCCAAAAATACTTTGTTCCACAGCAAGATTTCTTATCAAATGACATAATGAACCCATCTGCATACACTTTCTCTCGAATGTTTCTTGGTTTGTATTCTGGTTCATTCATAAGAGAAGGTATGCTCATAACAGTTCCACTAGAGGAAGATGCAGCTGTTGATGTAGAACTTGGAGATGAACTCGACGATTTACAAGGTTCTTCTTTGACCAGTGATGGATTGAAAACTGTTGAAATGGCTGATGGATCCAGTTGGAATGGAATTGCACTCAGACCTGGGAATGAGGCATTGGCTTGGAACGCTTGGATAGCCTGAAATTATAAAAACTGTGAAATTCAATCTATTCTAATCTTACCTGTAAAATCTGAGTGATATCAGGGCTTGGTTCCACTTTTGTAGTGATAGTTCCATCCAAAACAGCTTGAATGAAAGCTGGTTGTTGTCTCATCAAACCAATTTGTTTTTGTGCTCTTTCCAAATCGACGATAGCAGCCAACTCGCCATTATTATTGTTATTACTGGCGCCCGGTGGTAGAGGAAATATAGGTGGAGCCGTCGCCGTTGTGACGATGTCTTGGTTTGTACTCATCATTGTGCCCACCATGCAGGCGGCCTGAATGCATTCAGTAAATATTACGGAAGAGAAAAGGAAAAGAGGAGAAGAAGGGAACACTATGAAAGTTAATGGAAGGGTTCGGCGATGGATGGAGAGGCGCCAGGGGGAAGGAACGAGAGTAGGACGGAGAGATGGATGAAGGAGTCGGAAGTCTGGAGATGAAGTGGAAGAAGAAAAGAGAAGGGGGATACGGTAAAAAAGGGCAATGGAGATGGATACAAGTAATTGCAAAGCAATTTTCGACGAGGAAAACAAGTTTATCATTTTTGAGAATTCACAGGTAAGGCGGGGTTGCCGAAAAGGGTAGAAACGGCCGCTGAAAGTTTAAGTGTTGGCTATAACTTGCGCATTTTAAGCAAATTAGAAAAACGTGTAACAAAAAATAAGAGGCAATCATTAGAAATTAGATCATAATGAAAAATAAACTTTTTTGAAAAAAAAATATAAAAAACCTTTTTCTGCCAACTCTTATATCTTCAGCCGCCGTTGGTACGCTTTTCGGCAACTGGCCTTTTAAGAACGGACTTCTTTTTTTCTGCAATTTTTGCATCTTGTTATGGCCAGATGCTAACAAGAAAAACGTTTTAATAGAAGTCAAACCAACAACTGTCCTGATTTTCGACATAGCAGTTCTATAAATTCGGATCTTGCTGGTTAAAAACTGTTACAATATTTTCTCTCTCGTTGCATCAACTCCCCTACATTTTATGTGAATGGTGTATATAATATAAACCAAAGTGGTGGTGCTCTTTTAACAGAGAGGGCAAAAGACGTGGGACACTAAATGGTCGCGCCAGGCGCCAACTGGACGCAGCAGGGGTCCGCTGCGGAGCCGTTGGTCGTATTGCTCCTTCCGTCCGAGAAGAAAACCCTACGCCGTTATATATGCGCGATGGTTCTCGGAGAAGATAGAGGAGGACGGGGAGAGGACGAAGAGAATGGGATTCGGGGGTGACTACGGAGATCGGAGGCAAGATGTATTTGGCGTCATAGTGTGTTTTGAATAATTTATTCATGGTTTTCGACAGTCAAGTTCTAGAAGTTTTGGGTAAAATGAACATGATGACCAATAGAAGATTTACTAATCGGAGCTAATAAAACCAACTACTAAATTTTTAAATAAGGAATATCATTGTTGTAAGATGATACAATTAAATTATTTGGGAATTATGAAGACAGTTATTGTATAATAGTGATTCTGTATTTTTCTTAGAACTGACTTTTGATAACTTTCTGAACATTTCTTGAAAATATAAATTACCGTATTTTCTCTAATAGAAGCCCACCTCTATTTGAAGCCCACTCTGATAGTGAGACAGAGGTTGAAAAATAGAAGCCCATGACAAAATACGGTATCTTAAAAACCTAACCCAATTGAAACCAAAATTTTAATAGCTTATTTTTCTGGTATTTTGCTTATTTCCCTAGATATTTTTGTGTCAAAGAGTGCAGTAGTGGACATAATAACGTCCGATGTGCATGTACGCTTTCAGTTTATAATTTTTATATTTCGGTGTCCACTATAGTTATTCTTCAGCTTTTGAAAATATCAGAAAATCTTTAAAAACTCTAGAACTTTGTTTTTGTAGTGGGCAACGTTGTGAAGAACAATTTGGCGAATGTGTAATGAGAATGGGACCTCTATATTTATCGGTACTATTGAAATGTTGAATATTACACAGGTAATGCGGAGTTGCTAAAAAGCGTACCAACGGCGGCTGAAAATTTGAGAATAAGCTATATCTTGTGTCTTCAAGCAAATGGAGAAAATTTTAATAGAAGGTAATAAAGGCAAACATTAGTAATCGGACCACAATGAAAGATAACTGTTTTTTGCAGAAATATAATTCAAAAGCCTTTTTTAAAATTGTTTTTAAATCTTATTTTTAACACAAATATTTTATGAAGAAACATAGATTGTTCATTATAGTGCGATTAGTAATATTTGCCTTCCATACTTTTTTGTCAAAAATTTTCCCCAATTCAGACGAAAGTTACAGCCAACTTTTAAATCTTCGGCCGCCGTTTGCACGCTTTTTGGCAGCTCCGACTTACCTTGTATTCAATTAAGTACGTTCTTTTTGACAACCGAAAAAAAAAATGTTTTTCTCAAAATTGAAAAATATTTAGTAAAACATTTTTCGATTGACTCTATAATTCCTAAAATTTTCAAGGAAAATGGGTAACCGATGAGTACTTATTCAAATCAAAAATCGACAAAAAAACCAAAAAAAAGAGTATATGTTATCACTGTATCTAAAAAGGATCTTGAGTGATAACTACTTTGAATCAATGGCAAAAAAGAATGCAACAGGATAGTTAGCATATTATGAAGGACTATTTTTTGTGAATTTTAAGAAATGGAAACATTTAAAAGGTAGTGAGAGAATATTCGAGTAGGAACAAAATTTGGCTCAAGAGAAATATTTAAAAAAAAATAAATGCCAAAAATATTTGTACAGAACAAAAAAGCTAAAGTCTTGAAATAGATTTTTCCAGAAAAGAAGAGTCCTGGATTTCGGAAGCTGAAGCTCTCTGTGCCAAAAAAACGGCGGCCGAAGATTTAAGAGTTGGCTGTAACTTTCGTCTGGGTAAAGCTCTCTGTGCCAAAAAAGACTAGCGAAAAGTGAAAAAGAGCACAAGAGGAAGAACGAAAAAAAAGAAAGAAGTGGTCAGATGACCGCCGCGCCCGTCAAAATAGAGGCGCGCGGTGTGGCGAGAGAGGGAGCGGCGAGAAGAAGGAGAAGACCTCCCAGCCAGAGCCCACCCAACATGCCTATTATCGTCACCGCTTCTTCTTCTTCTTTTTCGTTTTTCATTCTGCTCCACCCGCTTCCACTATTTTTCTATACTCCCTGGCGATGTCCCGTGTCGCCATCACCACTAAGGACGGGAAAGCGCCAGAGAAGGAAAAAGGTGGTCGCCACCATTTGTGTTGACAACTTCTAGATTTATGATTTGAGAATTGGAGGGATTTGAATGTACTAGAACCACTTTACAACTATACGAATCAGAACTGTTGGGTTACTGTAGGTATCTAAAAAAGTCTTCATGGGTTCTAGTTGAGAGCCAAGTTGAAAGCCTTCCGGGAAAATTTGGTGGACCTTCTTCGTCAGATGATCTCACCAAAAAATGACTCATAGATTACTCACATGGAGGTTGGAAAACAAATTAGGAACTTTATAAAAATGGGAAGCAAGGACTCAAAACGTTACAGTATGACTACTTTTAGAACTATAAAAAGTACAAAATAAGTTCGAAGGAGCGGGTCCCAATGCATCGATTGTAGTGGGGGTGGCCACGAGGGGAGGGGGACAAACCGGGTCTCGGGAGTGTGGCGACGGGCGGGCGGGGGCGGAAAGAGGGGACGGAACGGGGCGGCGGGAGTGTCTGTTGTACGGGCGGGCGAAAGAGACACAGAAAAAGCATCGGGGGGTTGTATGCGCACAGCGCGGAAACAGGCGACGCGGAAGGCCACGCGGAACAACATAGAAAGGGTAGTTGGGGTTTGTTTGGTGTGGTATGGGAGACAATGATGATTAAGAAAAAAAGATAGAGCATCAGTGATTTTCAGGGTAATGAGACAAGAAAAAAACGTGCTCAACCGTGCTCAGAATCCGTGCTCATCGTCTTCGTGAATTTCTGGAGCTCATATTTTTTCATCGAAAATGGACTTGGAAACAATTTTTGTCGCTTTTTTGGTGCTTCTGAAAATACACGAAGACGATGAGAACGAATCTTGAAACTTTGAGAGAATACTACCCATCAAAAAATCTGCTTCTGGTAAAAATTTGAACAAAATCAGAGAGGGTCGATTTTGGTCGAATTTTTGTTGCCATGTGGGGCGCCACATGGTGAAACCTCATTTTTGGGCACATTTTGGCCTAAAACTCATAGGGGCTCAGGTTTATCTTTTATTTCAAAGCAGTTTCTAATGTATTTTTTGATGTAGAATCTAAATGTCATGTATAATTTTATAAAATAATGGAAATTTTTCCAGGACGGTCATTTTTGGTCCAAAAAAGCTTTTTTGCAAAAAATTGAAATTTTTCCAGGGAAGATGGAAGAATATGAATATAGTGCCAATACAAAAAATGTTCAAAATAGTGCCTAAAAACGTTCTACAATAAGACCTAATCATTATTTCACTTTTGAAAAAAAAAAATTTTTAGACACCCCACGACCATATTTTTGCAGGTGTGGGACAAGTCGGGACAAACTATATTTCATATACCTTACAAGTCCATAAACATTCAATGTATGAAAAATCAGCCAGAAAAAAACAAGTTTGAATTTTTCTGTACAGCACTATTTTTGGTTTTGTCAGAGAATGTGTCTTAAAGTACAAAGTTTTATTCAGGCTGAGTCTTCGAGAACTCTCCGGGAACCCTTCCACTCGAAGAGAAGCCAGTCAGATGACGTCCAAAATTTCCAAAAAATGCCAAGAAGGACATTTGCACTTTTCCTGTGACCTTGCCTTGTGTGTGCATATTCGAAGGTTCAGAAATCGGTTTGAGGGCATTTTCCTGCTCATCATCTGAAAGATTTTGTTAAGAAATCCATAATATTTTCATGACTATCTTTCTGCATAAAAAATCATCGTATTTTTATCACATTTTTGTCTATTTCACTATCTTTCAAAACAATGTGCCTCTAGAGGTCTATTATATTTGTTTAAGAAAACAACGCGATAAAATAGTGTTTTATTTTGGGAGTGATTACAAAGCATGGAAATAGATGGGAATTGTGCTTTAATCATGCTTTGGTGTATCAATACTGTACTGAAGTGAAGAAGCTGAAATTCACTTGTTCGGAAAAGAAGAAGATGCGATTTCAAAGAAAAAACATTTTTAAAAGGCACATCAAATTAAACAAAACAGTTGACATTATGGTCAGCTCAAAAAAAAAGACGAACTTGTAAATATCAGAGATGGTTACTGTAGACTAGGTTCCGCCCATTTTGATTTTTAGGTTTCCATCGATAATGGTGAACGAAAAAGGGCGGGGCTTTGTTATTAGTGAAAAACTCGATTGTTTAAACGCCCATCTGTGCGATTTTATGAATGAACAACAGATATTTCTATCTAGATATATGGATGAATCCTTGAATTAAAAAAAAAAAAACTTCTGATTTGAAAAATCTGACTTCTGTGGAACATTCTTCTCAACTCTCTATGACTTCCATAGTTGAGAGTCCCTCATGAAGATGAGAATACTGAAAAATGCAAAAAGTTCATGGGACCTATGAAAGTACATTTCTTAAATATGCAGTGGTCCCGTCTTTTCCCTTCTCTCTTTGACTTCTCTGCTCCTCTTCTACTCCCTCTCCAAAACGAAAACATTAAAGGGACTCTCCACTACCGTCTTCTGGATTTCTCGGAGTCCTCGAAGCGCGGGGGTCACCGCGGAAACTAGCCACACATAGAGAAAGAGAAAAAGAAGAAGAGAGCCCCAGCGAGCCACCCTCTCCCACTCCCAACTATGTTATGACAGATGGTGAAGAACGAGAAAAAGAGAAAGGGAATCGTAGGGGGAAGAGGGCGACGGGAATCATTAGGATGGTGGCGGGGGGTTATGGCGAGGCGCGCGCGCAAACAGACGGAAAGAACACATGATGATGTGTGCGAAGAAGAAGAGGATCGGAGAGGGGAAATCCCCGTTAGTTGTGCTTTTCCTTTATATTTTTGGCGACTTTATATGGAGTTTCAAGGAGGCAAATTACAAAAAAGGAAAGGGCAGAGATTCTGATGAAGGGAAACGAAGAAATGCAGAGTATATGAAAATACTCCTTGGTATTTGAAGGGAAATATTCACAAAAAAAAGGATGACGAAGGAAATAAGAGAAGACAGGAAAAATAAATATCGTACCCATTGAAATGATTCTTTTGCTGAATCCAAATTACAAATTATGTATATATTTGGTATGTATAGATGAGATTTCAGAAAAAACTCGAAGAAATAGTGAACGTGCATGTGGTAGGGTACTATATATAGAGTTTGTAGGAAAGGAGACGGTATGAGCGAAGAGATGAGACACAGAAGGGTCAACAAGACGATGCAGTAGAGTCGCAGGAAGATAACTTCAGGACGCCGAGATCATTTTGGGAGTAGTTCCTCATCGTGGAAACTTGACCATCAATTTCTGAAAAACTAAATAATATAGCGTGTTTTGGAATTTGAATTATACAGATCTCCTGTAATTTTGGGCGGCTTAATTTCGACAAGTACGCTCGGCAGATAGGTGTTTATAAAATTTTACGATGAATCTAATAGTATCCCCGAGCTAGTAAACCAATCTAGAAGATTTTTTCTCGTCAAGTTTAAATTACAGGAATTCTGAGCATATTTGATTTAAACCAACTTACCAAGGTTTGTGAGCAATTGTCTGAGCCAATTCATGGTGCTCGGATCTTCCTTGAGACAATTCTTGAAAGTCAAATCTTTCAATTGATCCGGAAGGCATTGCTTGAGAGCTTGTTGAGCTCGAACTTTCACATTCTGACCAGCACCGCCTTGTGCGACACGAGCGTCCAAAGTTAGGCTGAAAATCAGGCTACAAAAATAAAATGCCTCTAGAAATAATGCCATCCCAGTACTATTACAGAGAAAACTGTCAAGAAGATTTACCTTGGATTATCACTCAAACGACTGTAACATCTCACGACGTGTTTCAACAACCGAACCGAAGGCTCGCGAGTCAGCTTCATAACCATTTTTCCGAGAATCATGGCAACATGGCTGAAACGTTCGTACGTTTGACAAATGTACAAAAGACCAGTGTCATCGAGGAGAATTTTCTGGAGAATGAATGTTGCCACAGTTTTCGAGAGCTCCGTTCCTTGCTCCATAATACGCAAGCAAAGAGGAATGATTTCCGTGGAGAGCAAGAAATTGATGACCACAAGCAGTTGTTCTTTATCATCAGTCTTGACGAGTGCCCCAATGACTCCAAGCGAAGTAAGACGAAGGTACTCAAAGGAACGTGATACTTTGGTGGTATGGAGGAAGGGATACAGATAAAGTGGAATGTGAGCATGGAGGAATGGTCCACGAGTCTCTCGGTGTGAAGCAACACACTGCATTAATGCGAGAGCATTGCAGACACGATTCGATTGCGCAGCAGTCAAATTTGCAGGCATGATTGCCGGATATATAGCTACTACCTGAAATATCTCTCATGGAAAATAAGCATTCGTGTCCTTTATACCTCTTGCAGAAGAGCTGACATCGTTCCGAACGAATGCCAGAGCCAAAGTGGCAGGTCTGGAACACTGTCTCGTTTCTTGCTCAGTTCGAGAAGAGCGAATTCACGCTTGGAAGGATCCCGCAGATCGATAATCCATTGCATGATCTCATCCCTAAGAATCTTATTATTTCATAATAGCAACATTTTTTCTATTACTAACGTATTAATGGCTAAGTTGGTCGAAGATGGTACGGCGGCTTGTTGAGCTAGAGTAGCCGGTGAAGCACGTGCGTCTATCATGCTCTCGTATTGAAAAAACGTCCTGAAAACAAGAATTGAAAAAAAGGTTCAGATCAATTGTAAACGATAAGTTCTCGGCTAGAAACCAATAAAAATGGCAACTGAAAGTTCGATACGCAGATTTCTTATTTAACAAAACGGATCAATGGGTAATAGGAATCATAGAAGTCAAAAACGGGGTTGAAGATTATATTTTTGTATGTCGAAGCACAAAAATAAATTAATCAGGTAGATAAAAACTCAATAAAAACAACATCGATAATTTGATAACAAAATGATGGGAAGAGACCACGAAAAAGAAATAACCGGATGCAAATCCGTTGATTATTTTTGAGAAAGAAAACGAGAGAGAGATGGAAGTGAAATACAAGTGGAGTTGAGATGGAAACATCTTTCAGGCTTCTGAGTGTTGCTTTGCGGATCGCTTGGGCCCCTGTGGCTTCACCATAAGCCTCGGAGCAATCGACATTGACATCAGTTCTTGGAAGAGCAGCTTGCAAGCATAAGGAATACGAACTGCTGACACTTGTGTTTTGTTACGACAAGCCTGAAAATATTGGACTGGCGGGGACATACAATAAAACTGCTTACCTTGCACTCGAAACTGTTCGTTCTCAAGTTAGCGACGACGATCAGACCGCAGTTGTTACACACATACACGTGGTATGGATCAGAAACTTCGAAGAGACGTTCTCGAAGGAATTGAGTGGCTCCGTGGGAAATTTGACAATCGCGCTCCATCTCTCCGAAACGAAGACCTCCATCACGAGCTCTTCCTTCCATAGGTTGACGGTTCATCATCTGAAAACAACGATATCTCATCTTAATTCTGATTTATAAATCTCACCTGAATTGGACCACGTGCACGCGAGTGAATCTTGTCGTCGACCATATGCTTGAGACGTTGATAGTATGTTGGACCGAAGAAGATTTGAGTTGTCAACTTCTTTCCAGTATGGCCGTTGTACATCACTTCGTTACCACGGAGATGATAGCCGTACTCACAAAGAAGTCCAGAGATCTTTTGTACGTTAACTGTGTCATTGAACGGTGTTGCATCACCAATTTCTCCTTTGTTAGCCGAAAGCTTACCCTGAAACTCAGAAGTGTTACGAAACTAGTTGGAAAAACTGATGTGTGTCCAAAAAAGAACTAAACCTAGTGATTCAATTATTCGTTTCCAAACTAATACCGTACCTGTAAGCATTCGATCAAGTGACCAATTGTCATACGAGATGGAACTGCGTGAGGATTAATGATGATGTCCGGAGTAAGACCTTCAGCAGTGAAAGGCATATCTTCCTGGCGATACATGATTCCCATAGTACCCTTCTGTCCGTGACGAGAGGCAAACTTGTCTCCAATTTGTGGAAGTCGGACTGAACGCATTCGAATTTTCACGAACTTGTTACCATCGTTGTTGAGCGAGAGCATAACCTGAAATAATGCAAAATAAATAAAAAGTTTTACAAACTACAATGATAGGAACTAACCTGATCGACAATTCCAGTCTCTGAACTTCTCAAAAATGTGGAAGCATCTCTCTTCGGGTATTTCTTTCCGGTCGCATCCAAATCATCGTCAATATCTGGCAGAGCAACAGTCTTTCCGATAATCACATCATCTCCAGAAACACGCATTCCCGGTGAGATGATTCCGTCTTCGTCGAGTTTATCGTACAGAGAATGTCTCATGCCAGAACACTTCTCGCGAGTTGGTTTCTCGATGAGTTCTTCGTTGGCGTTGTCAATGTTTGCTTCGTTATCACGGTATGAACGATAGAAAACGGAGCGGAAGAGTCCTCTGTCGATAGCCGAGTTGTTCATAATGACGGAATCTTCCTGATTGTATCCAGAATAAGAGAGGATTGCAACGATAGCGTTGATTCCAGCAGGAAGTTCGTTGAATCTCAGATATTCCATTGATCTGGTTGTGACAAGTGGCTTCTGAGGATAGTAGAGAACGTGTGCGAGTGTGTCCATTCGAACATGGAAGTTTGTTGTGTAAACTCCCATAGCTTGTTTACCCATAGCGCTCTGGTAGGTGTTACGAGGAGATTGATTGTGATCCGGGAATGGAATGATTGATGCGCACACACCAAGAATCATAGCTGGATGGATTTCACAATGAGTGTACGTATCACAATATCCACCACTTCTCAAATCTTCTGGCATCATGGCGATCATTGATGTTTCTTCTTCCATCGAATCAATCAGTTCTACTACTCCATTACCCACCAGATCAGACCATGTGTACTTCTTCGTTTCATCTACATCTTTCAACAGATCTATGTGTCTTTTTCTCAATGCTAGTTTTTGCTTCTCAACGATGAGCAGTGGACGACAAACTCTTCCAGCATCTGTATAGATTCGAATTTCTCGGTCTCGGATGTCGCGAACCATCGATACTTCGGAAACGATAATATCCATTTGACGACGTAATTTTTTCAATGTATCCATCAAAAGCTCAGGTTCACGATGGATTCCCACCCATGCACCATTCACAAAGATCTTTGTAGCGTCCGCGATTGCAGATGGAGATACTTCTTCGAGATTTTCCATAGACCTGAAAAAAGTAATCAAGTGAGCATAGAATAATGAAAAACTCACCATTCCTCCAAGAATTCCAAAATCGGTTCGGGAAGAGAACCAACAGAAATATAGGCCATGAGTGCGAGATTTTTCACCAAGCCGACAGCCTGTCCTTCTGGAGTCTCAGCAGGACAGACCATTCCCCATTGAGTGTTGTGCAATTGACGAGGTTTAGCAAGCTTTCCTTCACGACCGATGGGAGAGTTCGCACGACGCAAATGAGAAAGCGTAGCAGTGTAGGTGAGCCGATTGAGTACTTGAGAGACACCAGCGCGAGACTGATGGGCTTTCTTCTGATCTCCCCAGTTTCCGGTAGCCAAAGAATAGGCGAGTCCACGAGTGATGGTAGAAGTTTTGACACAAACATCGAGAGCGAAATCGTCGTTCTTGTTGATATACTTTTGAGCCGTCATTCTCATCTTAAATTGAAATTTTTCGTTATACCAAAATTAAATAAAACTATGTTTACCTCTTTCAACAAATTCCGGAAAAGCGCACGGAAAAGGAAAGCAAGCAGAGGTCCAGCTAAGTCAAGTCTTTTGTTTCCAATATGATCACGATCATCGAGTTCACGACGACCAAGTGCGGCCAAAAGAAGTCTGTGCACCATATATCCGATGAAAAACGCTTTCTTAGTTTCGCAATGTTCGGAAACTCCAACGTGAGGCAATAATTCCTTCTGAAGAATTTCTCGAGCGTACTTAATTCTCTGTTCTCTAGTGACTCCTGGTTTGGCACCACGAGCTCCGATGAAATTAAGAGCAACATTTTGTTCCTGAAAAAATATATTTCGTATAATTATGGAAACTTTAATATGTGACCTGAATAACAAATGCTTCGTCCAAAGAAGGCTTGACCATTTCCATCATTTCTGGGTCTTCGAAGTCATAGATAATATGGCCCAGAATATCACGATCCGAAACGAATCCCAAAGCACGGAAGACAATCATGATAGGGATTTCTTGTTTGATATAAGGCAAAATACCGATGATTCGCTGTCCCATTGCCGTCTTCTTTCCTCCTCCACCTCCCCTAGCGAGCATGTTAACCCACATTGTAGATGTCGGACGGGACGAATTTTCCAAACAAGACCGGCACTCAGTTTTGAACGCATACTTTCCGTCTTTCATTGAGAATACGTAAACTGTATTTGTAGCCATTTTCTCTTGAGCGATAAGCACTTTTTCCGAACCGTTGATAACAAAATAACCTCCAGGATCAAGTGGACATTCGTTAAGCTCTGTTAGATCACGATCTGTCATGTTCGATAACATGCAATAACTGGATCGGAGCATAACTGGAACTTTTCCGACGAATACTTTCTCGTAGACCTTCTCGTTCACTGATTCGTCTCGCGTCACTACTTTGGTGATATCGACGTAAAGTGGTGATGCGTATGTTAGATTACGGAGACGTGCTTCGTTTGGCATCATTGGCATTGGAGCTCCATCTTTTTCCCAGTGAGTTGGTTTTGATAGATAGATTTGGTTGAATTTCAAAGAGAATTTGGCGGGATTTTCCATGTCGTTGCCAAGATGCTGGTTTTCCGATTGAAGTTCGACTGGTGGAGAATCTTCAACGATTCTTTGTACGTTCATTTGAACGAATTCGTCAAAGGAATCAAGCTGCTGTCGCACGAGACCCTGAAACATGCAAATAGTTTTGATCAGAAAGAATCCGAAGTTTACCTTCTCATCGAAGTAAGCACTGATCACAACCCAGCATGCTTCTTGCCACGCATCCGGACTGATTTCGGCCGTCTCATCCGAATACTCTTCGTCGTTTCCATCATCTTGCATACCGTCATCCTCGTCAAACGCCATTTTATTATTGTAGTTCATTTCCCGCCTCTGCTGTGGTGCCTTCGGTAGAAGTGCAGCTGAACAATGATACACTTGAGTATATTCAAAAACAAGAAAAAGATATATACCGGATTTTGGTTAATCAAAAACCGAATTAGGCAAGATCAATGAAAAAATAGGTGAAAATGTGGACAAACTTCATTGCAAAAATTAAAAAAGGAAGTAGAGAAAGCAATAAACCATCGAAATCGGGAACAGTGAACGGAGAGGATTCAATTTGCGAAAACAACTTTCAGCAATTATGTCACATCCCAGACTTCAGCGATATTTCAGGAAAACTGGAGCGTCGAAAGAGATCAAAAATAATAATTTTGAAACATAACGGAAGGAATGGTAAAGCGTGCAATATAGAGATCTTATAGATATTCTAAACAGGAGATGCAAAGTACAGGTTCAAAAGCAGATTTACATTAATAGTAAGGTTGTTGTAGATTGTATTGTCGGAATAAAAAAAGTGAGACTCGGTGTTTGCGTACTTTGATTCCCGTCTCCCCCCACCGACG